AAAAATAATGTATATTTAGTTCTTTTCGTGGATGATGCATTGATAACTGGGGAAAAGATTGAAATAAACAAGTCAGTCAAAAGCTTGTACCATGAATTTCAAGTTAAAAATATTGAAAATGTAACATTATTTTTGGGCATGGAATTACAAAATACAGAATATGGTATAAAAATCAATGAAACTAAGATTATTACCCGATTGTTGAGAGAGTTTAAAATGCAAGAATGTCGTCCATTGGCAACGCCTATGGAAATGAATTTTCAGATCGGTGAAAATGAACTTATTGAAGAAAATGTGCCATTTCGAAGGCTTGTTCGTAGTCTGATGTATATATACAAAATGGATTCTAATGCAATCTGAAGTACGTTGGACCGTGCTGTATCAAGTTTACTACTATCTTATTAGGGGGGGGGGGGGTAACTTGGATGCTCAGCCCTCCAGCTCTGAAATTGAATCAAACAAAAATGGATTCTTATCCAATGTGCACCAGTGCAAATATTTAATCGCTCGAAGTTGGTGTGAGTGCCACACCAGTGCCGCACTATTTTTGCGAACGGATTTCGCTATTAAAGTGTATCCTACAAAAAATTAAAATTCGTTCTAGTCTACACTTCTACTGGAGTTCATTTCTGTTTGATTCGATTTTCAAATTTTTTTTTTTGGGGGGTGGGGGGGCTGAGCGTTAAGTTTGCACCCCCAGTAAGATTTTGTCGGAAAATTACCGAATATGGAAATTTTGACAAAAACCTGATACATTACAGTCCAGCCCACTTCAGATTGAATAAGAATCCATTTTTGGTTTGATCGGATTTACAAAATTTTGGTTGGCTGATCATCAAGTTAACCTCTCAGTAAGATTTTGTCGGAAATTGACCAAGTATGGAAATTTTGAGAAAAACCTGATACAGTACAGTCAAGCACACTTCAGATTGAATAGAAATCCATTTTTGTTTCATCTGATTTTCAAAATTTTGGGGGGGCCGAGCGTCAAGTTATCCCCCCAAAAAGATTTTGTCTGAAAATACCCGATAATGGAACTTTTGAGAAAAACCTGATATAGCACAGTCTAGCATACTTCAGATTTAATAGGAATCCATTTTTGTTTAATCTGATTTCCAAAACTTTGGGGGGGCTGATCGTCAAGTTAGCTCCCCAGTAAGATTTTGTCGGAAAATGACCGAATATGGAAATTTTGAGAAAAACCTGATACAGTACAGTCCAGCACACTTCAGATTGAATAGAAATCCATTTTTGTTCGATCTGAATTCCAAAATTTTGGGGAGCTGAGCGTCAAGTTAGCCCCCCAGTAAGATTTTGTTGGAAAATGATCGAATATGAAAATTTTGGGAAAAATTTGATACAGCACAGTTCAGCACACTTCAGATGGCTTAAGAATCATTTTTTGTGTGTTTTTTTTTTTTTGGGGGGGGGGGGGGGGGGGTGAGCGTCAAGTTAGCCCCTCATCTTGTCTCTCCTGTAACGTTGGTATCAGAACGGCACAGTTCAAAATATCATCAGCACACTTCAAGCACAGTAAGTGGTTGCAATTTTGTTAGAAAATTCGAATGTGTGGGGGGGCTAACTTGACAGAGCCAATAATTTGTCACGTCGTTTATGGAAGTTTTGGACAATAAACCAACAGTTTTTTTTTTAATAAAGTTGCTACTTATTTATTTCCTCATAATTCTTATCAAACTATTCTATGTGCTTTGTGTAAATATAAAACAGGAAACAGGTGATAGGTTAGGTTAGATAGGTAGGTCCTAATTTATGTTAATAACTTTCAAAATACATGTGTCTTGTTTAAATAGTTATTCCATAATCCATGGTTATTCCATAGAAACCGTATATACCTTCAAGATGTTAAACAAATACTCCAAGTTGATCCTATACTTATGGCGTTTCCGATTGGTAGATCTAGTGCGGAACTAGTGCAATTTTTTCTATTTCTGTCTTTTTCTTCTATCGGTCGATTAAAAGGATGCAAATACATTCAGTGCGCACTGAATCTACCAATCGGAAACGCCATTAGTCAAGACTCATTAAGGATAAAACCAATACTTGCTTTTATGATTTCTAGGGTATCTCTACGTGTTCCTGGTACCAAGAAAGATCTGTCTTATGTTTAAAAAGTATAATAAATTATCAACCAGAAGATTAGTGAAACGAGACGAAAATACGCACTCTCTCTCGTCTCGATGATGCGAGATAAAATAAGTTTCTCGTCTCGACGAGATACCCCCTAGACGAGACGAGAGATCCTTGCTTTTCTCTCCTCACATTTTCTATTGTCTCTTATATTCGAACCACAAAGGTAAATTCGTCTCCGAGGTCAAACATATTCTCGTCACTTTCCACGCATAATGTGTAATTTTTGTTACCTTCCATAAAAGGGTCAGTTAAGTTAGCCCCCCCCATAGAAAATTTCTAGATGAAAATTATCCCATAATTTTGTTCTCATTTTGCTCCACTAATTTCGATTTTTGCTCCATTACAGTGGAGAGACTATGTGGTCTATTAGGTGGGGGGGGGGGGGGGGTGAATTAACGCTAGCCCCCCCCCCCAGTGAAAATTCGGAAATTTGATCATGCTCATTTTGTTCTCCGAGTTTTGCTCCGTTTTGCTCCACTATCGGCGAGTTTTGCTCCAATACCAGGAATGACCTACCGAGCTCCAAAGAATCTCTTCTTGTCCCCCACTGAAAATTTTGAAACTTGAAATTACTCATACCGAGTTTGGCTCCATTTTGCACCATGATTAGCTCGTTTTGCTCCATGACGAGCCGTTTTCGGATGCCACGCTTTGAGCGGTCAGCGCTTTCGAGTTGGTCCGAAGTACTCTGGCTACAATTTTACACATTCGAGCGAACAGAGTTTGGCGCTCTCACTTTCCTCGCCTATTTCCCCTGATGCACCTGTAACTGATTTTTGAAGCGTTCGAGTGCAAAGTGCATTGAGTATAATGGGAAGCGCACACTGCACCCGAAAGCGGCTCTGGAAAGAACTACACAGCTCCCAGGAATCTCTCCTTGCAACACGTGTGAAAATTTTGGAGTTTCTATATGTGCATTTTGTTCTCCGAGTTTTGCTCCATTTTCTCCATGATCGGCGAGTTTCGATCGATTACCTAGAATGACCTACGAGCTCCTAAGAATCTCTCCTAGCCCTCCCATACCAGTGAAAATTTTGTTTGATCATATTCATTCTGCTCTCCGAGTTTCGCTCCGTTTTGCTCCATGATCGGTGAGTTCTGCTCCATTACCTGAGCTGCTTTCGGGTGACACGCTTTGAGCACTCAGGCGCTCTGAAGCTACTCTCATTTTCCTCGCCTCTTTCCTGATGCACCTGTTACTGATTTTCAAGCATTTGAGTGCAAAGCGCATTGAGTATAATGGCCGTATTATTTGTTATCCTTGTCTAGTCAACAGGCTATTAAGTATATCTCAATCGTTTTGATAGATTTGATAGGTTCATAAAATCTGTCGCTATGAGTCCTGTCGCATTGGCTTTTTCTCCCCCTTCAGACGTCGTCTGTCATGATCCGTGCTGTGAGCTTCAACAAAGGCGGAACACTCGTTCTCATGGAAACGCTGCTACCCTGTTTCAAGAATAAGGACCCTAGAGGTCATTCCAGGTAATGAAGCAAAAGTCGTCGATCATGGAGCAGAATGGAGCAAAACTCGGAGAACAAAATGAGCATGATCAAATTTTAGAATTTTCACTGGGGGGGGGCTGGGAGAGATTCTTGGGAGCTCTGTACGTCTCTCCTGGTAATGGAGCAAAACTCGCCGATAGTGAAGCAAAATAGAGCAAAACTCGGAGAACAAAATGAGCATGATCAAATTTCAGAATTTTCACTGGGGGGGGGGGGGGGGGGGGCGGGCTGGGAGAGATTCTTGGGAGCTCTGTAGCTCTCTCCTGGTAATGGAGCAAAACTCGCCGATAGTGGAGCAAAACTCGGAGAACAAAATGAGCATGATCAAATTTCTGAATTTTCAGAAATCCAGAAATTTTCTATGGGGGGAGGGGCTAACTTAACTGACCCTCCATAAAAGGTAAATGCGTAGCTTCTTTTTGTTACCGACTTTTCTAAACTAAACTAAACTTAACTAAACCATTTGATTGGTGATGGTGGAAACAATCAAATGGAAAATAATTCTTTAGAAAATGCTTTAATTTCCATAATGTTGATAATGAAAGTAAGTACCTAACTACCTAAGAAATATAGGGACAAATTAAATAGGTAATTATCTGACACTAGTGACAGTTCGGACATTGGCGCTTTGACGCCTAGGCGCTAGCGGTGAAGAAAAACGATCCCAGGGCTTGACGCCCTGATTAAAAATAACGGTTGTTTACATTTCAAAATCGTGATCTAGTGCGCCTCAAGCCCCTGAAAAGAAACGCCCTAGGTAGGTATTCTTTACATCAATGACTTGAGAATGATTAAGGCCGCGTTATTGGCCGCCATGTTTAAATTTAGTTTTTGGAAATGACGAATGGCGCCAGTCTACACATACGGTTCAATATTTTATTTTTTGTCCAGAACAAAATCTGTTTGTCGCTGAAACACTTAGTGAAAGAAAAAGACAAATATACAATTATGATGCCCCCAATGTAGCTTTTTTGCCGTGGCGCCATCTACTTGAAATTGCTCGAACTGTAGCTGTCAAATTTTTACCGAATTTTCACCTTCAAAATTCGTTTTAAGGTAATCTCCAAAAATCCGCAATAATTTTAAAAATTCCTAGGCATAAACATTATTTGATAGATTATCTACAATTAGCTTTTTTTCTTATCTTAGGAGGAAGGCTTTGTCAGATTCTTTCGCAGATGTAAATAAAGCTTGGATTAAAATGATCTTCTGAAACGAAATCAATAAACAAATTTTCCTAGATACTACGTTTATTCTATATTGCTCCAAACAAAGCGCACATCAACCATTGCCAATACTACTTAAACAAAAGCGTAGCAAGTACTCGCGAGTATCTGCTGCGCACCATCTGCTTCCTGCTAAGCCTAGAGGAGGCGGGTAATCTCGGAAACAAAGAAACATCGGGCCGTCGCTTATAAAACGGCGTCGCGGTGCCTTAAACCAAAACACTTTTGATTGAACCGTATACCGACGACTCACGCGAGAATCGCACTCGAAAGTGAAATCACAACAAACGCATCACGGCCTACTGCGATTTAAGTTTTGTCTTTGACAAAAGAAAAAAAAAACGCGATTTCAGTTCGAGTTTTGACATAGTGGTTAACAAACTTTTGGATATTTTTTGCTTCCAAGGATTTTACTACTTGAATAAAGGTGTGTGGAAACAATCAATATCAAAATATACAGTGGAAACTTATTAAAAGTGGAAAAACATAATCAAAGTATCTTGAAATTCTTTGTACAAGGCTTTTAAATTCTATTTTCCCACAAAAATTATGAAGCGAAATGCATTTCTTTTCCTGTATTCTGACGCAAAACGCCCTTATTGATTGGCTCTTAATATGCAGTGGAAACTTCTTTGAAAGAAATCAACTTTTTGTTGATTTGAAACAATCTCCTGTCTGTTTTTGTACAAAAGAACAGACAAATAAATATATTTAGTATAGATACCTTATTAGTTCTTTGTTCTGTATCTTTTCTTAGATGCGTCCTCCAGCTCAATATGACGGTCAAGTGGCCAATGAAGCTGAAGCCGAAGCTGAACAACCCGATCCTAGAATGGTGGCTATGATGATCAGCACCAGGATGGCAGGACGGGCTGTTATAAGGGTAGTTGGAAGGTGTGAAGAAGCTCAAGAGAATCAAGAATTAGGTAGGTACTTTTTCTCAAATTTCATTTTTTTCTTTTCAAAATATCTCTAACCCCTTTTTATTATCGTAACGTTTCGATGATATTGATTATAGTAGTACCGAGTGACAATAAAGACTTTTGATTGGATTGAAATGATTCACGATTATCTATGATTTTTTTTTTCTGATCAAAAATAGAATTCATTTATTTACAATTTACATTGCATTGATTGAAACATTGGTTGCGGAAATAATATTAACCTTATCTTAACCTTAAAAGGCAAGTAAAAGGCCACTAAGTACGTCGGTACCAAGCAATAATTTACTTGTAACAAAGCCAGGAAAAAATTTATATAAGTTTTTTATACCTTTTTAAGGAGACAGGTACTTCATAAGATGCATATAGAAAAATAAATTTTCATTAGAATTAAGTATGTATTGTCTTGCTACTATAAATACGAAGAGGAAAGTAAATAATGAAATAACTATTTTCTCGTTACATTGCCGTAATTAACCCAGTTACTTTCTATTTCATTTCCGTACTCGTTTACAACATGCGTATATAATTTAAATGCAATTCTGCGTTAAATGTACCAAAAAACAACAATGTATTTCCTATTTTGTTGTAAATACTTTAATAATCACAACAACGCAACCAAATTCTCTCAAGTCAATCGTCAACTACTAAACTAAGCATGTTCTTATTTTAATTTCATGTTCCAGTTTCTTGATGTCTGACATATATTCTTCTAGCTCGCCCATTACCATGTGTTGGGTACAACCTGAATCTAAAATAAAACGAGTTAAATTGCGTGATATATTTCCCATGTTCAATGCAATGAATGCAATTTCATCTGCTTGGTTTGCATGAGATCCTGTCATTATTGATTCGTGGTTGTCCTCTACTTCTACCATGTGGATAAGAGCCTCTATAAGTATTTCTTCGACCTCTAAAATATCCTCTAGATTGATTCTGATGACAGTCTGCAATTTTGTGACCAAGTTTCCCACATTTATAACAAGTATAAGGTTGTGCTTTGATAGATGCTTCTAGCTGGTTACTACTTTGGCCTTGTTTGTTTTCAGTGTCATTTCTTCATCCAGCAAACGAGATTTCACCAAGTCTATAGTGACTGTACTGTTCATGGTTTCTATTGCAGTAATAACTGAGTCATACTGTTTATTGAGGGTTAATAGAAGGTGGCAAACTTTATCTTCTTCTTCCACTTTTGACCCAATGCTTTCCAGATCTCTAATTATATTGTCGTTTAAAAAAGTTTAAAAGTGGTCCTCTAGCTTTTCATTTCTTTTGTGTTTAAGTGTCAGCAATCTTTTCTTCAGTGTAAGTTTGGTAAAAAACGCTTCTTCTTTGGAATACATCCTTTAAGGAATTTATCATGTCTTTGGTTATTTTTGAATCCTTGATTATATCTAAGTATTTATCATTTACACATTGCACAATGATGGATTTCGCCTTTGCATGTCTTAATTTGAAACCTGCTTTTTCTCTATCTCCAGAGAAATCATCAACTGTCTTTTCAATTGTATCTTCTAGTTGTTTTTCTCCCAACTCTGAACTTCCAATGATTGAAATTTTGGGAGTTTATCTGTGGTATCTACTGTCAAGACATTCATTTTTTTTACTGTTACGTAAATGTTTAGGTACTGCTTATTTTAATTAGTCTTTACTTAACTGCAATATACCTCTCGTGTCTGGGCCCATAACCTGTTACGATTATTTTTGATGTTGGGGACTTGAGAATAATTAATACGATATATTCCGAATTGATAATTCAATATTTATTATTAACAAAGAACAGAGAACGTGGAACAAAATAACGTATCACATTGGCGAAATTTTCTTGACAACAATGACAACTTAAAAATAAGGTTATGTACACCAAACAAAAAACTAAACTCTTCTTATCATAAACATATGTTGGTACAAAACCATATCAAGGTTACTTGCTAAATTAGGAAATATTCTCAACACTGCTTCCATATAAAATCAAATCAAACGTATTTCTCCAAACTTCTCTCTGGATATCATGAACGCTGCTTCAAATTGATGGATAAGAAAAATCTTTGATGTTTAATCTCGCTTATTTTGAATTTAAAATATTTAGAGAATCTGAACACATTTGAGCTTCGTCGTACTTTAACTGATTTCCACAAACTTCCTCATAATGTTTCAGTAGTTCCAAATTTTCTAGACGTCCTCCTACTCTCATGACGCCTTCTTGATCCAATATTGGGTTTATGCTTAATAGTTTGCTTCTCAAATTTAATTTCTTCTTTTCCATTAGTGCGGAATATTCGCGTTGGAACTCTATTTTTTGTAAACTCCTCACAACTGCCTTCAAGGTGTTGTCTAGTTCTTCTTTCGTTAATTGCTATACTTTTGGTTTTCTGAGAAATCGCCGACAATATGATTTTAACATCCTTGTGAAGCTGGAAAATCTAGTCCATTCTTCTTCAATCCTTTGGATGTTAACTTGATGACATCTTCTCACTTCTTGGTCTATTTTTGGAATTTCGACATGCGTTGGCCAATCCTCTTTTGTTTTTAACCACTTGGGGCCATTCCACCATAAGTCTTGAAGTATGTTAAGATCAACTCCCCTGGATATCACGTCGGCTGGATTCTCGTTCGTTCTCATGTGGTACCAATTTTCTGGGGGAATATACTGTCGAATTTCGGCAACTCTGTTTGCGACAAAAGTTTTCCACCGCAGGGGGTTGCCTTTCATCCACCCAAGGGTGATCATTGAATCTGTCCATGCATATGTGGTTGCGGGAACATCTAATCATCTCACTGTTTTATTCATTAAGTTCGCTAGTAGAACGGCTGCACATAGTTCGAGCCTTGGCAATGTGGTTTTGTTTCTCACGGGAGCTACTTTTGACTTTGCTTGTAGCACGTTAATGTGAACATCTCCTGCTACTACTGTTCTGCTATACACTACTGCGCCATATGCCTTTTATGAGGCGTCGAAGAATCCGATTATTTCGATTTCGGTTTCATCATAACAAATCCATTTTGAAATTCTAATGTTTTTGATGTGTTGAACATCATTTCTGAATTGTTGCCACTTCTCCTGTATACCTGGATTTACTGGCTCATCCCACTCTAGTTCCTGGATCCATAGATCTTGCGTCAGTAGCTTAGCTTTTACTATGAACGGGGACAGCATCCGTAAAGGATCAAATATTCGGGCTATTACTGATAGAATTTGTCTTTTTGTTAGACACATTTCACTCGATGAATTGACTGAATAGTAATTTGTCTTCTTTAGATGCCCAAAAAATTCCTAACGACTTTTTTGATTCTTCCTCGCCTATTTCGAGAGTTGTTTTCTCTTTTAGAGCGTCTGGAATCTTTTGAAGGAATTCTACTGAATTGCTCGCCCGTTTTCTCAGCGTGAATCCTCCTGCTTCCAAAATATTCACTAGGTCTTCTTGAAGTTTTTCAGCCTTCTTAATGCTGTTTGCTCCAGACAGTACGTCGTCTACGTAAAAGTCCGTCATCAGAATTTTCGATGCTTCGTCGAAGTTGGTACTTTCATCCTGGGCTAACAGGTGCAGTGTTCTTATGGCTAAATATGGAGCTGAGGCTGTGCCGTAGGTCACGGTGCGTAATTCATATTCTTGTATTGAATCTCCATACTATTCTTTGATACTGGCGATCTTCTCTATCAATATTTGTCTATACATTTTTTCGATATCTGCCACAAACGCTATTCTGTGTTTCCGCCATCTGAGTAATGTTTCTGAGATATCTTGTTGCAATCTAGGGCCTGTATGCATGGCGTGGTTTAAACTAATGTTTTTGTCGGTTTTCGATGACGCGTCAAATACGACTCTCCATTCTTATTTCTACTGGTTGTTCTGACATAATATTCTTCACATTCTTGATCTTCTTTTGTTAGTAGCTTTTTTGCCTGAACTTCTTCGATTTCCCAGAACTTTGACAACTGTTTGTCTTCCTCCATGTGAGCGACTATACTTGCTATTTATAGGTTGGTTGATCTGCTCATTGTCATTGGTCCGGACAGGATCCATCCAAACTCTGTGTTCTGTCCTACCAATATTGAGTCGCATTTTTTTAGACCTTCTAGAATTATTTCGCTGTATTCTTCGGCTCCTAGTAAAATATCAATTGGTCCGGTTGTGTTGAACGTAGGATTAGTATGTCGTTTTTCCATTGTTGAGATTCGATTCCAGGCAACAGTTGGTTCGGGAGAGCTCTGGTACTTTTTGGTAATACCAGCAATTCGACATTTAGTTAAAAGTTACTTGGGAATCGTGCTTTTAACTGGGTGGTGACTTTTGATTTTGATATCCTGGCGTCTTCACTTCCCATTCCTGTTAATTCTGCACATATTCCTTCTCTTGGCAGAGCTAATAGCTGGGCCGCTTGCTCAATTATAAATGAAGCTTATGAGCCTTGATTGATCAGCACTCTTAGCATTTTGCCTGATCCGTCGGCAGGCTGGCTTACCACTAGGGCCGTGGCAAGTAGGACTTCTTTAATGTCTAGGTGGCTATTGCTTGCTCTATAGTGATTGCTTCTTGGATTTCTAGAGTGTCCAAGATGGTTGTTGTGGTTTCCAGTATTAACGGAGCCTTGGTATCTAGTATTATTTTCCTGATGAAGTAATGTGTGGTGTGACCGGTTGCAGGTTCTGCATTTTTCTGGGCTGTAACATCTGGATTTATTGCTGTGACGTAGGCAGTTCTGGCATAGCTGGTTTTCTCTAACTATTTTGTTTCGGTCTCTAGGGACGTCTTGCTGTGTTCTTACGCCACTTATAGATTCTAGAGATTGAAATCTTTTTCTGAGGAACTCGAACACTTCTTGTCTGGATGTAATTGCTGCTCGTATAGTTTATTGGTTTCTGGGTCCCTTTTTTTCCTTATGAGTCTCCCTATAAATGGATCCCATGATGTTGTGTCAATGCCTAGATTTTTGATTGTTTCCAGACATTCAATTGACACGTCATGGAGCTGTTTTATTTTTTC